TTGTCCATCAGGGTTTGGGGGATCATGGTGTTGAAGACGGATGTTAAGTCCACAAAGAGCAAATATAATGATAAGACATATATAATAATAAGAGAAATATACATTAGTCCCTCGCTACTTTGCGGTTCGTTTTTCGTGGATTTGCAATGTCATGGTTTTCAAAGTAAGACTGGACATGACACATTTGGTTGATTGATGGATGAGCCATGGATTGTTTATTTAAAATAAATTATTTAAAATGTTTTTGCACCATGTGTGCAGCCCACAAGTGCAGGAGAAGCTCCCTCCTGCAGCTGATCAGCTGATCTTCTTCCACACACACATTTCTCCTGCATCAGCTTTGTGAAGAGTTAACCCTTTGCTGTCCAGATGCACTGATTGACTTTTGTCTTCCAACTTAAAACTCAAAGTACGTCACATCGTAAAATCATCATAATTACAAAATATGAAAGTGTTAAAAGTTATTTTAATTATTTTAGAACTTCAATGTTCAGTTGTTTCAGTGTAATTGATCAAGAAGTACATTTCTGCTCCATGTTGCTGCTGAAGGGTTAACCTTTGATGTCCTGCTGCATTTCTCTTCTCTACAATTTAAATTTAAATACTGTAACATATTAAACAAACGATCCATGCCATATGTATTGTTTATTTAAAATGTTACAGTATTTAAATTTAAATAGTTTATTTAAGGAGGGAGACTGGGAGTAACAGGTGATGAATGTGATTAGAGTCTGGCATATCATGACAAAGTTTACTGAACTTGAACTTGGACTACTGTCTCCCTACTTTGCAGTTTTTCACTTATGGCGAGGCGTGGTCCCAAACACACACGATAAATGAGGGACCAATGTATTTGGAAAATAATAGCTAATTAAAACATTTATTTTAACTGGCTTTAAACGCTCTTGTTGTCTGGCTGAACTGTTGGATCCAAAAACCAGTTCATGTCAGTATAATCTGGCAGAGTCTTGGTATGGATGGAGCTCTAATGTAGAGCATGCAGCTGCAGCTGGTGTGAGCACTGATTGTGGCTGAGAAGTGGGTGTGGCAGATGGCAGAGAGTGGAGATCATGACATTTATGGCATAAATACATGTTCATTGTTCATGAACAGACATTCTCAGTGATGAAGTTCGACAAATCCAGATACAGATCCTCTATCAGTGATGATCACCTCTCAGCTGCCCTTTGCATAGCCACCTCAGACCTTCAGACAGATTTCAATGCACTTGTTCAAGCCCAGGACAGATGGTATTTTTCTCATTGAACAAGTAAACTGAACGGAAAACATCAAAAGCGTTTGTTGCTTTTTGTATAAAGTCGATCAGTTGCTTTAACATACAGACCCTTTCCAAAAAAAAAATAGAACATCATGGAAAAGTTGTTTAACTTCCATAATTCCATTCAAAAAGTTAAACTGTAATAGATGATAGATTCAGGACTTGCAATTTAAACCATTTCAAATATTTATTTGTTTATTTTTACATAATTTTGCCTTCCAGCTCATGAAACCCACGAAAACAGAATAAAAAAAAATTAGAATACTGTGGAGAAATCAGCCCACAACACTTCTCAGTTTTTGTAGAAAAAAAAAGAAATTAGGTTCACAACAAATCAATCAAAATATGGTACTTTCAAAACGATATGTCAGTCTTCAATACTTGGTTGTGAATCTCTTTGTCTTAATCACTGCTTCGATGTGACGTGGCATTGAGATAATCAGCCTGTGGCATTGACTGGGAGTTATGGAAGCCCAGATTTCCTTGATGCTGTCAGATCTTCTTTGTTGTTGGGTCTGGTGCTCCTTATTCTCCTCTTGAGAATACCCCAAAGATTCTCAATGGGGTTTAAGTCTGGTGAGTTGACTGGCCAGTCAAGCACTGTGTCATGGGCATCAAACCAGGTTTTGGTGCTTCTGGTGGCATGGGCAGGGGCCAGGTCCTGCTGGAAGATGAAATCTGCATCTCCATACAGATCCTCAGCAGAAGGAATCATGAAGTCCTCTAAAACATTCTGGTAGACTGTTGCAGTGACTTTGGATTTAAGAAAGCAGAGTTTACCAACACCTGCACCGGACATTGCACCCCAAATCATGACTGACTGTGGATATTTCACACTGGACCTCAAGAAGTATTGATTCTGTTCCTCACCATTCTTCCTCCAAACCCTTGGACCTTGATTTCTGAATGAAAGGCACACTTTGCTTTCAAGGGAAAAGACAGAGGAACCCAACAGTTGTAGCCCATCTCCCAGATGCGTCTGAATGTGGTGGTTTTTGAAGCTGTGACTCCTGCCTCATTCCACTCTTTCTGGATCTCTGCCAGATTATGGAATCTTCTCTGTTTGATAATCTGCTGAAGCCCACGGTCATCTCTTTTGCTGGTGCATCTTCTCCTGCCACATTTTGCCCTTCCACTAGACTTTCCATTGATATGCTTGGACACAGCACTCTATGAACAGCCAGCCTCCTTAGCTGTGAACTTTTGTGGCTTACCCGTCCTATGGAGGGTATCAATGATGGTCTTCTGACCAGTTATGTCTGCAGTCTTCTCCATATTGAACCGAACTGAGACAATTTAATGACACCTGGGGAAACCTGTGCAGGTGCTTTGAGTTTAGTAGATGATTAGTGTCACACTCACTTTAAAACATTCATGCCCTGCAACATGTGGCCTGATTTCTCCACAGTATTCTAATTTTTTGAAATCCTATTTTCGTGGGTTTCATGATCTGGAAGCCCAAATTATGTAAAAATAAACAAATAAATACTTGAAATTGTTTAAATTGTGGGCCCTGAATCTATCATATATTAAAGATTAACTTTTTGAATGGAATTATGGAAGTTAAACAACTTTTCCATGATATTCTAATTTTTTGGAAAGGGCCTGTATGTGAAGATTAGCAAGTTAAGAATAAAATGAAATAGTGATATAATGAATGTTTTGTTTTAAACTATTACTTTTATAGGATTATTTTCCTCTTCGACCTACACCATAATTCAAATATTTACATAAATATTTACAGAATATCCTTATACTTCTGATTACCAGTAGAAGCTTATTACAGCTTTTTACAATGTGAGAAAATTAATATTTAGCAGAATTAAGTTCAAGTTATCGTTGGTTCGGCCCTCCAACACAGTTCAGATTTTTCATGTGGCCCCCTTTAGAAATGAATGGCTCACCCCTGCATTACATCAAAGACTGGTTCACCCCAAAGATCCAGTCCCCCGGCACAAACAGAGTAATGTTGTGTATGCTGTTCAGTGTCAGGAGGGCTGTGATCAGTCTTACATCGGGGAAACAAAACAGCCACTGGCCAAAAGGATGGCCCAGCACAGAAGATCAACATCATCAGGCCAGGACTCTGCGGTCTACACTCATCTCCAGGCCAGCGGTCACTCTTTCAGGGATGAAGATGTTCACATCCTGGACAGAGAGGAACGATGGTTTGAGAGAGGAGTAAAGGAGGCCATCTTTGTGAAAAGAACTTATTTAAAGACCACTTCTCCAGCAGAACCAGACTCAGGATGTGGACTGAAAAGAGTCAGACAAACACTGAATGGTTGGTCCACGACTAGTTTCTATGTGGAGAAAAATGAATAAAATTGTTAATGGTAGAAGTAATAACAAATACACACACAAACAGCAGAGTGAGTAAAAACAGCAGCAGGGTGAGGTGATGTGATCAGTTTGTCCTCCAGCAGCTGAAGCTTATAGTAGCAGAACTAAGAAGGGATATCTCTGGAAATCCAAGTCAACCAGAGGCGTAAGATTTATTAAAAAAAATAACTAAAGCCTTTTCATGTTGTTAGAATTGAGATTTTTTAAATCTGAACTGGTCATATGATCTGGTAAATATAATCTCTCCTTCTAACTCATCAGAACTCGAGCAACAGCGTTTTGGATCAACTTAAGACTTTCTAAAGACCTTGTGGACATCAAGATGACAAAGACTTGTAATAATCCAGCCTAGAAGTGATAAATGCATGGACCAGTATTTTTATTTTTTGCACTCTTAGTAAAAGGTTATATATTATAACTGTATATGTATGTTAGAGAAAAATAAATAACAAGCGGTATGGCGTTATCGCTGAAGGATTTGAATTGTGAATTTTTGTAGTTTTCAGATAGAAGTACTTCTTTCTTTCTTTCTTTCTTTCTTTCTTTCTTTCTTTCTTTCTTTCTTTCTTTCTTTCTTTCTGTCTTTCTTTCTGTCTTTCTTTCTTTCTTTCTTTCTTTCTTTCTTTCTTTCTTTCTTTCTTTCTTTCTTTCTTTCTTTCTTTCTCATTTGCTTGTCAAAGGCAGCACAGAGTAGATCCTGGTGAGTGGATGGAGCATTTTTATCCAGGACCATGTCCAGTGGGTGACCAATGGTGGTCTTGGCCCCCATAGATTAATCTGCTGCCACCCCAATCATTTGAATAAACTATAATATTAAGCAATATAAAGACAAGAAATTCCCCTCCCCCTGTTAAAGTTTTACCTGCTTAAGGACAATAGATGAAATGTTGCACCTGAGCTGAGTCCAGCACATTTATGCTGCTGTTTAACACAGAAGCATTGATTGATGTGCACTGTCTCCTCAAAACAATAAATTAATTAAATGAAATAAAACAGTTTGATTCTGTATGTCATTCTGAACCAAACATACTTTGTTTGGTGCAAAGCGTTTAAATATTACCTTTCTTGGTTTCTTTTAGCAAGATGCAGTTCAGTAAAATATGCACCCACTCTGACCAATGCATTCATTGTCAGTTTACTGTTCCTGCCCAAAACTACTGCACCAAACCTCCACGGGACAAATACATGCACCATTACACCCATACTGAGTACGTTTGTGCGTCCATTAGTCACTCAGTCGTTGCTTGGTTGTACAGATGATTCTGTTTTGTACAATGGTGTCTTAAATGTAAGTTCTACTGCTGTTCTTGTGTTTGTTCTAGAGTCCCACCTTAGTGACATCCAGTCAGTCTCTGCTGGAGTGGTGTCAGGAGGTAACACAGGGTCACAAGGGAGTGAAAATCAACAACTTCAGCACTTCTTGGAGGAATGGCCTGGCATTCTGTGCTATTTTACACCACTTCCACCCTAAGAAAATGTAAAAAAAACCAAAAACACTTGATGTAGTACATTATGTTTATAACTGTATGCAATATAATGTGACTATTGAGGTCTCTTGTCATTTTCTAGAAATTTTGAAATGTTGGACCCATATGACATCAAACTCAACAACAAGAAGGTTATGAACACATTTTAAATCAATATTTTTATAATTATTGTTTGATAAATCCTAATATTTGATGGATGGTATCCATCAATCTTTCTACATTTTTCAGGCCTTTGATGGTTTTGCTGAACTTGGCATTTCCCAGTTGATAGATCCTTCAGACATGACCCTGCTCGCCGTGCCTGACCGTCTCATTGTCTTGACCTACCTCAGCCAGATCCGGACACATTTCACAGGCCAGGAGCTAAGTGTGCTTCACATAGAAAAGACCAGCAGTGAATCGAGCTACGCTGTAGCAGGGAACAGGGATGACCAAGAGGACCCAGAGGCAACAGTTCGCTACTGCACCCAGAGACTCCAGGAGGAGGGTATAAGTCTCGACATGATTGGAAGTGCAAGCCCAGCAGAGACAGATGGCAAAAGCAGTAAGGAGGTGGTTCCACCGCCGAGATGCAAACGGTTTCAAGCTCCAGGGCCAGGGGTGGGCAAGCAGCCAGTGCCACCACCAAGGACTCATTTTCTGTCCAAGTCGGGCTTTTCTCATGTCAGAGATGCTGATTTGGTCAAGAAGCGTAGGTCCCAGCGAAGGAGTGGTTCAATGGAGGACGCAGACATATCAGTGGTATGATGCCTTACTACATTTTCATTTGTTCTGTTTAGTTTTTTGTTGTTTAGTTTTTTTCTTCTTCTTTTTTGTCATCTACTTTTCTTTGTTTGGGTTAGGCTGGCACAGGACAAGATCGAGAAAAATCAGACACTGGTTAGTTGTTTTTTATAGGTTTCGAAATAAAAATAATTATATTTAGATGTCTGATGCTTTTTTGAGGACCTCTAAACATTGTTGATTTCTTGTTTATTAATTTCTGCGTTTCCTTGATAGAGAGAACAGGGGTTGTAGTGGATGAAGAAAGACCAGAGGGCCAGGTGAGTGAACGACCCTTTTGATTTAACGAGCTGAAACACTGAAGCTGTTACTGGAGTGAAACGTTTCAAACAAAGGTTTTTGTGTAAACGCTGATTCATCATTTTCACCAAAAAAAATATTTCTTTGTAGTGTTTGTCTCATTGGTTTCTGCCAGTCTTGGTCTATTGATTGAAAACACATGACCTGGTCTGTGTTTATATCAATGTTTATAGGATCCAAGTCAATACGTGTTGCATCAGATCGAAGCTCTGGAAGCAGAACAAGATTACATTGATAGTACTGCAAACGTGGTGGAGAGGAAACTCAGACAGTTAATGGAAACAGGTGAGGTACTTTGTCGAGTAAGAAACACAAGGTAGCATTGTATTGGGAACATTTTCATGGTTTACACTGATGTTGCACGTTCAGCTTTATAAATTGTTTTGCTATGGTATAATTCATTTCAATTCAATTTGGTTTCTTTTTACAGCGCACCAGTTCACAACAGGTCATCTCTGCAACACGTACAAATTAAATCAAATTACAGAACTGACAGGTAGAACCTATGTACCATCATTAAAACAGAGCACGGTTTTGGCTGCTTACCAGCTCCACTAAAATGGACATGGATTTTCCAGCTGGGTTCATAATGGTTGGATCATTCTGCCATAAAGTGATGATTGAAAGGACCCTATTGCAGACATGTAGGCAGTTTCAGGGTTCTGAGAGATGTTTGAAGTACTAAACTGAGGTTTCAATGACAAAAAACACCACAACGTACCAGCATTTTTTTTTCTTTATTCTAAAACACTTTAAACAACCATAAAACCGCTGTATGACTGCTGTATGTTACAGTAAATAAAACATAACAGTCACAACATATAATAAAAACAAAGTAAAATCAGCCCATTATATAAAAGGACAATTAAAACAATTAAAATAAATTAAAAAGTTACGATTTCAGATGGTGTCAAAAGCCAGAAGAGACAGGTTTTAATAAGGGCCTTAAAAAGCTGACAAAGGTCTGGTGGTCAAAGACAGGTTGTTCCACATTTTAGGAGCAGAAGCAGAGATGTTTCCCTCCTAAGGCTTTAAAAACTAAAATAATTAGGCCCGAGCAGCTAAGCGCTGCGAAGGCCTATTGTAATTGTAGTGTTTATTGTTTTCAAATGAATCCTAAAATCTACAACCAGCCAGTGCAGTGAGGCCAAAATAGGCTGAATGTTCTTGTGTTATTTTTTTTTGTGTCAGTCAAAGACATGCGGCAGCATTTTGGACCCCCAAGCAACAGAGAAAGCACTGACCTCAATAGTTCCCTGTACGTCCATTACTTCCTAGTTGGATGCTGCCATTGCTCCTCGTTCCTCGCTCCTCGTCGGATATCACACTGTGCTTTCGGCATTAACACCTCCTTGAGGAACACACGTGAAACTCAGATGCCAGCTCAGCAATGCATCCTCCTCTCTGCCTGCCTCTGTCTCGTACCCGACACAAACTGATAAATACCACTTATATTTTGGGACATCGGGAACTCCTGTACCCTCCCCTGAAAGAGAAAGAAATGCACAGTAAGATTCACCCAAAACATTTTATAATAATGATAATATTAATGTGCTATTTGTTGTCATCATTATATGTTTCCATACAATGACAAAATTGGCTCTCTGCATTTAACCCATCCACCCCCAGGTGGAGCAGTGGGCAGCTATTGAAAGTGCCCGGGGAGCAATTGGGTATTAGGTGTCTTGCTCAACGACACTACGACATGTGGGCATGGCAGAGAGGTGAAAGTCAGCTGCCCTACCTCCACACTATCTCGGCCCCTAGTAAAGCTTATGGCACCTGGTATTTCCAAGCGGTCTCCCAGCCAAGTACTACCCAGGCCCGACCCTGCTTAGCTTCTGAGACCAGAGGAACTCAGGCATGATCAGGGAGGAAAACAAGGTCATTGCTTGGCCAGGCCATTGCCATATATTGCTGTATTGCTGATAATAGTTTATCGGTGGGTGTATAATGCGCTGAATGTGGTACTATTGTTGACAATGCTCTCAATCATTTGCATTTCTCTATTTAACAAGTTATCTCAGTCTCTCTTTCTGTTTCTCTCTCTCTCTCTCTCTGTTTCTCTCTCTCTTTCTCTTTCTGTTTCTCTCTCTTTCTCTTT